TAAATGTTTAAATCCTCAGACCTCTCCCGCCGGGACCGTGCATAATCATAACCTTCTGCGCGCATCAATCTGGTTCTGAGCGCTGCTACATTCTGAATTACTTGAGGGTGAAGGCTCTCCAGCGGAGAATACAGCATTTTCCAACACTTCCTCAAAGAGCGAAATTCCAACGTCTTGGAGGCTTTTGGTGTTCCTCCTAGATGGAGAAGAAATATAACCAACATCCCACGCTTTGATGACATAATATGCAACTGCGTGGTTAATAATTGCCACGTTTCAGTGCCTTCATCATAATATACAGGTATGGGTTCGGGTCGGGTGCGGAATCCTGGTGCCGACGGGTCGGGTCGGTTGCGGAAACTAATTGGTATATGTGCGGGTAGCGGCGGGTTCGGTATTGCACGTCGCGGGTGCGGGCGGGAGCGGTCTTGAATCGACCGGTGGCAGGACTCTGAGCCAGAGGCGGCTGGCTCTCCCTTTCCTCACCACTCAAATCAAATCGCATCAATTTAGTGGTGCAGTGACGCGTCCAAAAAGCGGAAGTAAGCTGCGCTCGGTTTTCCCTCGACAAAAAAGCAACGGGATTTTTTCCCATAGAATTTGGAAAATAGCTCGAAAAAGTCAGTGGAAAATGAACCTGTTAGGTAAATGCACGTTTTGTTCAGTCGGATAATATCCACATGTCTACCCCTACTTTTATAATTTTCGGATCATAAATCTAATAGATAGAAGATTGATGCGTCAACTGCACCACTCTCACCGGCGTTTAGAAAGTAGCAGAGCAACTGAAGCAAGTGCAATTATGGAGGGTTGGAGATTTGGAGTATTTAATCAAAATAATTGTACTAAAAACTCTCGCTGGCAGCAGCAACAACAAATCAATCTGATGACAGGCCAATGCCCAACTGGGAGCTGTGTACTGCGAGGACAAAGGAGCGAAACCGGACGTAAAACGTTAAAGGTCTCCGGATTTAGTTTGTGAATGAATGCTTATTAGAGTTTCGGCTGGAGAGTGCATGCGGACCTGTCGGTCAGATAACAGGCGTGTGTAAGTCCTGCATCTTTATGATACAAATGTGTGTAAAATGATACCGGGCGCTGTAATCACTCATCTGGTTACGTTATTACATTGACCACCACACCCTACAAGATACAAGATACACTACACCTCTATGGTACCCATGTACATGTCAAAATTCTTCCCAAAGGTCAAGGAATACCATGATCATAACACCAGAGGGAGCTCCACAAATCATGTAAAACCCAGATTTGGCACAAAAAAAGGGGAATACACGTTTCGCAATTATGCCACATCAAGGTGGAACGCTCTTCCCACTACTGTAAAGGAAAGTAAAACTATACTTACCTTCAAAACCTCTCTTAAAGAGCACCTTCGGGGGAGAGCATTGCAAAACTGGCTCCGGTAATGGTACAAATCTCAACCTGTCGTACAATGGACAGCTTCCCCCCCATCTATATATATACTCGCATTTTACACTCTGTTACTAACTGTATATCTGTAGACTTGGTATGTCTTAAATGTCCGGTTAGGATGTATTAGAACGAAATCTAAAATGAAATTTGTAAATAAGCCATCTGTATGTAAAAAACCACCTGTATGTAAATTGTAAATAAGCCATCTATATGTCAAATATGTCTTATATGTCTTAAATGATATGATGAATTGGAAATGGGGGACCCTGATGTAAACAAGACGAAAGTCTTTCTCTGGTCTGCATCCCCTTAACAATTGTATGTTTTGAGCTGTACTGTACTGTACCCAATATACAAGCTGTTAATAAACTTTTCAATCAATAAATTCAATCAAAAACGTCACGCGACGTTTTTACTATCAACTCTGCTTATACTCTAGTAAAAACCAAAACATTTTAAAGGTGCGTATCCTATAGTTATTATGTCAGGGGAAAGTAACCTATGGGTAACTGATGTTCACCCAAATTAAAGAAAAAACGAAACAATTCTCACTAATCTCTGTGTACGGAGGCCCCAAAGTGTAACAGTAGGACAATAATTATTTTCCTGAAATACAATTGCAATCCCTCATATTTAGTTCTGCCTTCCCCCCATGTATGTTAGAACATTTGATTATGGATTCATTTATTGAAGACTCAAGTTTCGATTGAGTGATTGAATTTCTGGTGGCTAGCCCACTCTTAGCATAAGGCAGATATTATCAGATGTCAGATGTGTTATACACAACATGTCATAGAGTAGCCTCTATACAACTACAATACGGCTACTGCGGTTCAGCCATTTCTCTACAAATTAGAAACAAATAATGCAAGAAAATGCAATATAATGAAATAAAAATACGAGTTGAATGGTTAAATATATGTCTTTAAAAAATTTTTAAAAACTCTGATCGCTGAAAAGACACAATTAAAATGAATAATCTAAATTGAAGCAGCAAAAACAGAGACATGACTCTTGCAATGCACCATGTGTGATTTTACAATTTATATCTTTAAAAAGAACATTAAAATGGCATGTGTCATGCATTGTTTTATTAGACAAATATATTAAATTGAGCACATTAGTGAATGTTCCTGCAGCACACACTTTTTCAACAACACATTGGCCAATTAACCAAAACTCCATACACAACTAAAAAAAAACAAAGATAGCCTAAGCACCTTGTTTTGTCCTGAGTTAGATATATTGGATTTTCAGTGCTGTGGTGTATATTGTTGAAACAAATTATGATATTTTGATTGTTGGTTATCATAAACCCTTACTGAAACAGTGTTCGTAATGTTTCATATATATTTTATATTCATGCTTTGGCCTGCCTGTGTTGGACCAGTATTATTTGCAACCTGCCCCTTGACAAATAATATTCATTTTATTAAGCTGGTACACCATACAGAAGTACCTACTGGTCCATTGAATACTTGCATGGTGAGAGAATAGTTTTTCGGTTTCCATGTTTGCTGGACTAAAGAATAAGGAATAGTTACTCAAATGCATCCTTTTGTAGTTTCCTCACTCCACAATCTTTGGGACAACTAAGTTAGGAGAAATTCTTACTCACACCCTGCTAAATTCTTTAAGGCAGTCTACGTACACACACATTGTATTCTATTCTTAAAAACAACAGATGTCAAACACTAATTTTGCTTCCGCAGGGTATATGTTTGAGTAATCAGGCACACACGTCATGCACATGCAGCCAGCATCTCTTTGGCTGTGTCACTGTGACAAAAGTCGGTTCAGTTTCCTGGCAACAAGCTTTTCTGAGTGAAGCAATCATGTTAGGTCAAATAATTCACCATTAGCTCCCTAATTCAACATCTCTGACTTTGGAGCCTTCATACAATGTTTGTGATATGGTTGCCATAGAACTGTATATCATTTTGTTGTTAAGGTCACTAATATCATGTTTACCTGTAGTCTTTGTACAAGATGTTCAGGGAAAGACTTTGGAGTTAAAAATAGATTAATTCAGTACTTCACAGAGGCTTTGGTTACTTATGCAGTAATAGTTATTGTAAAACAAATACTGGTAAGAATTTAATGTTTCAGTGCCAGCGTTACATTTTAATTCAAGCAAGGACAGAAAAAAGACAAATGGCCTCCCTCTCCTTGTTAAATAGTATACGTGTCATGAACACTTGGCTCTAGTCAGTTTGATGAAGCAGAGAGCTCTGCGAGACGATTGGGTGAAGCAGTTTAACAGTATGTGACGTGCACCTAGTTTAACCACATCTTTATATCTGTCACAGAATGGAGACCAAAGTATCTTTATGCCCAAATAACTTCAAATGCATAATTTATATATAATGAAATGACCAAAGTAAATACAAAAGGTAATGTTTGAATAACAAAGGTTGTCCTGCTGAGTGGTGTTTGTGCTGCACGTCATTCTGTAATTTTCTCCACACAGCAGAGCTGAAGTTACCTACTCCAGCTTTTATGAGTATAGGCCTAGCCCTCTAAGGCTATCGCTATTGGGTAATCCCCCTGCGCACCCGTGCAGCACTGAAAACACTTGTAGTCCACGCCCGCCCGCAAGGTGGGCCCCACCCTCGGGCTCACTTCCGGTATAAATAGGAAGGAGGCCCGACAACCTGCTCCCATACAAAAGTACTTTTCTTCAGCTATTCGTGGAGCCAGTGGGGCCCAGCACTTAGAGGGCTACGCCAATACTCATAGAAGCTGGAGTCACAGTAGTTAACTTCAGTTCTATTTCGTATATCATGGCTTCGCCCTCTAAGGCTATCGCTATTGGGTTAAGGGCGAAGCAAGATGTAGTCTGCGCCGCACTGGGTCCGCCCGGTACTAGAAGCACAGACACACCTGCTCAGATAATAACCCATGCCTATTGTGCCATGCGAAATGGCGCATCACAGTCCCTGGAATATAGCATAACATGAATA